CTGTCCTGGAACTCACTATGTAGATCACACTGGCCTCAAACTTAGAGATTCACTTGCCTCTGTCTCCAGAGTACTGGGATTAAAGATGTGCACCACCACCCTTAGACCTAAGCTGTTCCTTAATTCCTTTTCATAAGTTGAAAGTTTAGCTGGGTGGGATCTTACCCTGAGGTCACCATTCTCTTTATTCCATTTCTTAATCTGTTTATCTCCTTGAACACAGGATTTTGTTCCATTCAACATCCTGGTGCCTCTTTTCTTCTCAAATTGTAAATTTTGTATTTTTACTCTGTTAGCTTTCTCCTTTTCATTATAGATCTTCATAAGAGTGAATGCTAACAACCGTATCTGTGACAGAGTCATTACTAGGCTGTTTTGAGATTTCCTCTGCCAATGGAATTAATCTAAAACTCTTCACTTTAGCCTCAGGCAGACTTTTCAGACAAGGGCAAAAAGCAAGCACATTCTTCACCAAAATATCACAAGAATGATCTCTAGGCAGCATACTAAAATTCTTCTCCTGAAATCTTGTTTCAGCACCACTGTGTTCCCTGTTCCTTCTAGGATGGCCCATTAAATCCCATTTAGAGTTCAACTGCTTTTCTAATCCATAGTCTACATTCTTCCAAATAAAAGCATGGTCAGGCCTATCACAGCAGTACCCCCACTTCTGGTACCAACTTCTGCCTTACTTAGGGTTTCTATTTCTATTGCTGTGAAGAGACACCATGACCACGGCAACCTCCCCCCCCCCCCCCCAAGACAGGGTTTCTCTGTGTAACAGCTGTGGCTGTCCTGGAACTCACTCTGTAGATCAGGCTGGCCTCAAACTCACAGAGATCCACCTGCCTCCACCTCCCGAGTGCTGGGATTAAAGGCATGTGCCACCACTGCCTGGTGACCATGGCAACTCTTATAAAGGAAAACTTTTAATTAGGGCTGGCTTACAGTTCAGAGGTTTAGTCCATTATCATCATGGGAAGCATGGCAGCATGCAGGCAGACATGGTGGTAGAGAGGTGGCTGAGAGTTCTACATCTTAATCTACAGGTAACAGGAAGTGAACTGTATACCATACTGGGTATAGCTTGTGCACATGAAACCTTAAAGCCCACCTCCACAATGACACATTTCCTCTAACAAGGCCACATCTCCTAATAGGGCCACTCCCTATGGACTGAGCATTCAAACACATGCGTCTATGGGGTCATACCTACTCAAACCACCATACTCTCTGTATTTCCCGTAGCTCTGTCAGCTTCAGCATACCCATGCTGACCCCCAGTTTCTCTTCCCACACTGGCTGTCTCTGCATGTCTGCTGGTAACAGCTGTACTTCAAGGTGTCTAGACTGGAAGTCTTCTAGAGTGAGTTCCAGGACAGCCACAGCTGTTACATAGAGAAACCTTGTCTTGTAGGGGAGGGGAGTTGCCATGGTCATGGTGTCTCTTCACAGCAATAGAAACCCTAAGTAAGACAGAAGTTGGTACCAGAAGTGGGGTACTGTTGTGAGAGGCCTGACCATGCTTTTATTTGGAAGAATGTAGACTTTGGATTAGAAAAGCTCATATTTGATCTCTCCCCTTAAAATTTTATTTATTTATTATTATTTTTCTCTGTGTGTGTACATAAGAATGATGTGTGTGTGTGTGTGTGTGTGTGTGTGTGTGTGTGTGTGTGTGTGTGTGCATATGCAGCAAGTGTGTGGAGGTCAGAGGACAACTTTGTGGAGTTAGAGGCTCTTTTTCTACTTTACGTGGGTTCCAGGAATTAATTAAACTCAGGTTGTCGTCCCTGCCTGGAAGTGCCTTTTCCCACCGAGCCCTCCTGCTGAGCCTGATCCCTCATGTTTGATAACATCCCAAGTGTGACCTGTTAGCAAATCATGTAACCTCTGTTGAGAGCATGTTCTCACCATGTGTGCTCTCACGCTGGTGGAGGCGTGGTGACCTCACTTCACTTCCATTCGCTTCTTCCCCTTCAGTCAGCTCACCCCAGAAGGAAGGGCGGGGACCCAGTGCTGCTGGCGTTGGCTCCTCCTACTCCCAAAAGCTCTTAGGAGCTCCCAGTTGCTTCCCATGTGGGCTCCACCATCTCTCTGCTCCTTCACCTCCTTATCCTCTTGGTTCTTCCAGACCCCTTCCCCTTCCGTGCCGTCTCCATCCGCTTCCCTGCCTGGACCATCTGCCATGCTCCTCTGGACTCCTTCCTACATGATAAATACAAATGACATCATTGCAGTCAAGCATCGCATAATGGCGGGAATGTGTTCTGGGAAACGTGTTGATTTCTTCACTGTGGGAACATCCTAGAACTCTGACACAAACTAGACAGCTGAGCCCGACTGTAAACAGATCACACTGTAAAGCCCACCTCCCATCTCGCCTCCCCTCCTCCTTCCCACCCTGTCCCTCATCCTGCTTCCCTCTCTCTCTTCTCCTGTCCCTCCCAGGACTTTCCTAATGTTGCCTGCTCAGTAAGATCACCCACCTTCAACTTCCAGTGGCTAGGTTCCAACATACCCCTTTTCTCTGTTCCTTCCTTAACCTTTATCTGTGCCCAACAGCCTGCCTGTTGGGCCTGTGAATTTTCTCACCTTGTGACTCACACATGAGAAGAAAAGCCCTTCAAGGTGACCCCTTTGCTTCCTGCTACATCAGAGGCCACAAGATGATCTGCCTGGGATATTTGTTGAGTGGTTGACTGAGTGAATAGGTGGTTAGTGTATTTTAGTTGAATTTATTATTTTATTTCAGCACTTAAAAACAAAACAAATTTTATGCCCATTCTTAAACATGCAGGAGATTGGAGAGGACAGTGCAGCAAACTCCTGGTGTGCGTCACTCTGTAACGGATCATGTGGCCCTGTTGGCTTCCGCCATGTTGGAGATAAATCATATATACTGTGACATATCTCTAAACATTAAGGACATTTTTCTATATTGCCGCAGTGTCTTCCCACACCTGTTCGAATGGATTTGTTACTTGCTGTACATACTGCCCCTGCTCACATTACCTGATTATTTCGTGTCTTTCCTAGCTAGTTGATTCCAGCCAGATTCAATAAAGAATCACTAACTGCACTTCACTAGGTCCTTTTGCTTGTTTTCTGAGACATGGTCTTACTACACGTAGCCCAGGTTGCCCCCAAACTTAGAATCCCCCTGTCTCGGCCCCCGAGGGCCAGGGCTACAGTTGTGCACAGAGACTCCCCATCCTACCCACTCTGCTCCTTGTGTTCTTTAATAATCTTCTAGACAGTGTCCACATCTCTCCACGCGGAATCATCCCCTTACCCAGTGATGTTTTGTTCAGGACTCCTGCCTTGTGGTTCTGTAATCGGCCTCACTGTCTGGGTTTCTTCTGATATTGTTAACTTTCTGCTCTTCTCACTGCTTCCTACAACCTGGAAGTGAGTTCTGAAGGCTGGCAGACTGCAATGGGTTAAATGAATTTCCATCCTGTCAGCTGTTTTTTGGAACAAGGAGAACTTTGGGACAAACTCCTAATGTTAGTGGAGAAGGGACACTTTTTTATTTTTATTTTTTTTGGAAGTGCTGACATTTGCATGAGGATGTCCTCAAACCCTGGCTCTCAGGCCTGGAGAGATGTCTCAGTGGGTAAGAGCACTTGATGTTCTTGCAGAGGACCTGGCTTTGGTTCCCAGCACTCATGCGGTGGCTCACAAATGTCTGCAACTCCAGTTTCAGGGGGATCTGCTGCCCTCTTCTGGCCTCCACGGGCACTGTAAACACGTGATGCATAAACATACATGCAGGCAAACCCTCATACACTTAATAAGAATGATAAAGAAAGTCCCTTAAAACCCCTGGATCTGCTTTGTGCAGGCCTTTTCTTACGGGATCTACACAGTTACTGACTGGCCATCCACACAGGCATGGTGAGCCTCCTCCAGGCTTTGGACCGTCACCTAGTTGAGGGCTGGAGACTCTGGGTTAAGCACTGTCTCTGTTTTCACAGTTAGGACAGACTAGAGAGCTTGGGGTGCCAACCTGGGCTGGTGACCGTGCCCGACTGTCTTTACATGAGGACACTGTGCCCCTAGAGACCAAGGTTATGCACTTGTACGAGAATGCTTTCAGTTCTGAGACCCCTACTTGGAGTTTGTTTCTAGGTAGGATGGTAAATTCTCATGTAAGGCAAAAGTATAGAAATGTAAGGGTGATTCCCCCCCGCTCCCCCCATTTCTTTGTAGAATGCACAGAGTTCTAGATAAATAGGGACTCTAGAGCTGGAGTGGGCTTCTGAGATGTGCTAGGGCATAACTGGGTTATAAAGTAAATAAGGGACTCGGGTTGTTTCTGTGGATCCTGGTTTATAATTCTTAAAATGTAAACACATTTAGTATCTTACTCTAATTTCTTTTGCCATCACTGAATACTTAGGACTGGGTGATTTATAAAGAAATTAATTCCTCACAGTTTGGAGGCTTTAAAGGTGTGTGTATGTGCATGTGTGTGTATGTGCATGTGTGAATGTGAGTGTGTGTGTGTGTGTGTGTCTCACTGAGTGAAGGGCACTTTGCTGGTGAGAGGAGACTCCATGGAGTCCATAGGGAGTGCTGTGGGTGTCAGATGGTAAGAGGTCCACGGAAGGTGGATACCTTAGCTTTTATTACAGTCCTGATCTATTTTCATGATAACTAACTCACTTAATAACCTAGTAATCTGCTAATGGGTTAATCCATTTGAGGGGCAGAGTCCCCGACTCAGTCGTATATCAGAAGTCCCATCTCAAAATACCATTAATATGTGGATTTGGGAATTAAGTTTCTAATGTCTGAATACTGGGAGGTAGTTCAAACCATGGTGCTCAGTCTGGTGTATTGTGTTGATTTGGGTGTACAAAACATCTAAATCTAGCTCTTGTTTTATGAACTCGGAAGTACCTAAGTTACCCAGGTAATATCTTCAGTAAGCACTGCTGTTGTGGGGTTAAAGCCTCAGATGACAACCTCTTTTCCCCCTTTTTATGACGTAGGAAATCCAGGATCCTCTGATGCAGTGGCTTGAGAGGCATGTGGATCCTGAAGGGATCATAAAATCCAGCAAGCTCTCCCTTAAGTTCATGTCCTCTTACACATCTGAAGTGGAAATCAGCCCGTCTTCTATTCCTGTGGTTACCGATCCCGAAGCCTTCTCCTCAGAGCACTTTAACTTAGACATGTATCGACGAAATCTGCAGACCACGCGGCTGGGAAAAGTAATTCTGTTTGCCGAAGTGACCCCCACGACCATGAGTCTCTTGGACGGGTGAGTTCCAATCAGGTGCTCTGCCTGGCCGCGGTGTCCACTGATGTCTGTTCTCTGTCCTCAGTGCCGGGGAGAGGGACATATCCGCCGTCTTCTGAGCACAGTAGACGGACTCTGTCCCGCCCCTGAGAGCCTGAGCCTTAGAAGGAGGAATTCAAAGAAGGCTTCAATGGAGTCCGTGCTTTAGACGTGGCTTTGGTGGCTGGAATTGCGCTTCCTTTAATCAGCCATTTCAAAATGTCCTCAAGGGAAATTTTGGAAACTAGTGTAACAGGTGGCAGTGGTCAGGTGACCCTTTCTCTTTGTGCTGTGGTAATCAGTGATAAATGTTTAATCTAGGATGTTCTGCAGGGTGTTCTAAGAGCGGAGTCGGAGTGACACATAGCTGGTTAGATGGAGACAGGTGGACCTTTGTGGTTCATTCCCAGTCATCTCCCGAGCTCTCTCTAATCCCGTTCGCATGTTTGAAATGTATTCTTAGTGTAAGCTTCCGTTTTTTTGTTTTTTGTTTTTTTTTTTTGTTTTTTGGTTTTTCGAGACAGGGTTTCTCTGTGTAGCTTTGTGCCTTTTCCTAGAACTCACTTGGCAGCCCAGGCTGGCCTCGAACTCACAGAGATCCGCCTGGCTCTGCCTCCCGAGTGCTGGGATTAAAGGCGTGCGCCACCACCGCCCGGCCAAGCTTCCGTTTTTTACTTCTGTTCCGTGGCCTCAGTTTGAAGTTAAAACCTGGAAAACAGAAGAAAAGGATTTTTTCCAAATGCCACATATTGTTTGTGCTAATTAATATGATTTTAGTTTAGGACATTGGGTAGAAGAGAGAAACTCAAAAACGTGTCTTCCCTGTGCATGAAACCAAAATTGAAAACTATAGGTTCCAGAAATCACTGGGTGCACAGTTCCTAGGGTCTACTCATAGGGATTATTAGACAAGTAACTCAACAGACAGAAATGTCGTTGAGTGTGTTCTAACAGGGTCTGGAATGGAGTTAATTGGTTATATGTTGGTACAAAACAATGACGTAGCTGCTGTGTTGGCAGAGGGGCAGTTACAGCGTGTGGAGTGTCTAGGAGGATCAGCGGAAGGTGGGGAGAGCAGGGGACGCTGCTGTGAATGAGCTGTAACGTGAGCCGTGTTAATTAGTGGGTTTTGTTTAACGAGTTATTTGTGTTGCTGTAGGTACTCATTTTTTCTGTTTTATTTTCCTCAAAGAGAAAAGTGTTTCTGCTTTTCTCCGGCAGTGAGGAATCCTTCTCTCTCCTGGTCTCCTCTGTGCCAAGCACAGGCTGCGGGGTGGTGGCTTTGATTATTGTTGGTCCCTCTGCTGGGCAGGTTCCCGATGGGCAGCTGTCCCTCACCATGGTCCCCGTGGGCTCCTTCCCAGCACTCCCAGGGAAGGCGGCTCACAACAGCCTACGGAGTCAGACGTTCCCAGAGGCTGTGGCTATTTTAGGAAGTGGTGTCTGAACAGGTCTCCGTAGAGCCAGCAGGACCTGGAGCCACTCATAGGGTTCAAGTGACAGAGCGGGAAAGCCACAGGTTGCTGTGTTCCAGGCACACAGCCAGAAGCATTTCTGGTGCCGGCGTGGCGGGCACACTTGTCTCTTGGGTGCTTCTCTGTCTGTGTGGCAGAACCTTGCACCCAAGGAAGCTTGTAGAAGGAAGGGTGTGTTTGGGCTTATGATTCTGGGGGTTCACCGCAGGGAACATGGCGGCAGGGCAGCATGGTAGCCGGAACAGCTGAGAGCTCACATCTCGAGTGGGAAGCAGGAAACAGAGTGTAAACTGGGGGTGACAAGAGGCTGTGAAACCTCAGCTCCTGCCCCCCAGTGACATATGTCTTCCATCAAGGCCACACCTCCTAGGCCTTCCCAAACAAAGCTACCACTGGGGACCGAGTTCAAAGGCCGGAGCCTGTGGGAGTCGGTCATGGGAACCACCGCAGATGCAGAACATGCACCACATGGACATGGGTAGTGCAGCTAGTGAGTTGGACACTTTCCCTTCCACACGTCTTTGCCGTGCGTCCGTGACTCCAGCAGCGCCGTTTGTCACCTCTGGGTGCTTGGTGGCCATTGGTGGACAGTCATGTACTCCTGTCATGGTGCACAGCTAGATGACAGGAGGATGGAACAAAGCAGGCTGGGTTGCAGTCCATTCGAACCCTTAGCAGAAGTTACACTTGGCCGTTGTGTTCGCAGCTAATGGGTAGGCCTGGTCACAGTATAAAAAAAGAAAGCAAGGGAACAAACGTGGTCTTCATGCATGTGTCATTTGTGTGTGTGTGTGTGTGTGTGTGTGTGTGTGTGTGTGTGTGTGCGCGCGCGCACACGTGTGGAGGTCAGAGGTCGACGCCTCCTCAGCTGCTCTTCTTCACCTCATTGTTTTGAGAGAGAGGGTCTCACCGGATGTGGAGCTTACTGATCTGACTCGATTGACTGGCCAGCAGATCTCAGGCACCCGCCTGTCTGCACTCCTCCCCAGCACCGTATCACAGGTGGGCAATGCCACACCCAGCTTCTTTATGTCGGTGCTTCTGTTTGTGTGACACACACTTCACCGACCCGGCCGTCTCCCCATGAGGTGTCTGTGGCTCCGACTGAAGGCGGAAAGGTGCGTGGGGTGACCGGAAGTCTTCATGGAGGTGTTGCAGTCTATTAGGAAAAACAGCTGGGGACCTTGCCGTGACTATGTCATAGCCCCAAAGCCGGTAGGATTCGGAGTCACCGCGGAGAGTGGAGACCGTTGCCCTTCAGGAAACACTAGCTTTGTCTTGTTGCCTTCTCAACGTCTTTAAGGCATCCTTCTGTTACTGTAAATCCGGGAGGTTGGGCGATTTCTCGTCTGACGAAGGCTTTGGTGCTCATCGTACTTTTGGCTTTCACTGCCAAGCCCACCCCACCGGCGTGCTGCGGCAGGAGGTGCGGGAAGGTTTCGTTTGTTCTCTGGGGTGACACTGGCTTCATCTGGAAGCTGTGAAGATCCTTCGCCGTCTCTCCCAACCCTGTGGTTCTAGGAGCGGGAGCAAAGGCAGTCAAAGGGCATGTGGTTCTCCCCTCCAGAACCAAAAAGTAAAAGCCTGATCAGTGAGTGATGCTCCCCGAGTCGTTGGATTTGGACGTGCCATCCAGTCCCTGGGTTGGACAGGCTTTTCAGCCTTTATCCCCAGCCCAGTCGTTTCTCTGGCGTACCGTCCTGACCCTTCGGCTTTCCTCCACTTTGTTGTAAGAGGAGGGTGTTCTGGATGCCTCAGTCTGCGTTGCTGGCTCCGTGGGAGGCCAGGGGACTTTATTTTTCTTCTGTGCTCTCTCTCCAGTTAGCTCAGCCGTTGGGTAGAGTCCCAAGAATTGGGCTCCAGGCTTTGTCTGGCCCAGCGAACCTCCGAGGGTCCGACGGTCACGTCCTACAGCTGGGCCAGGGAGCCGTCTGCATTTGTGGTGTGGGGTGGCGCGGATAGGAACAAGACCATCACCATCACAGAGCAGCCCCTCCGTGTGCTTGCTCTGCTGGGGTGTGGAGGGAGCCTGTGCATTCTGTTTACTGGTAAGACGAGGGGCCAGCCCGCTCGGGAGGCCAGCTGAGGCCAGCGAGCACTTGATCATAGGGTAACTGAATCATGAATCATTGTTATTTTTGGAATTGTCTTCTCCTTGAGTCACAGTATCTTTCTTGATTGACCTCTGCCAAGTCTCTGTCAGATACTGAAATGAATGTATGTGAAGCCATCGTGTGGGGAGCCAGCTGCCACAAACTGTGTGTACGCGTGCATGCTGAGCGGGCTCATCAAGGGTTGCCTGTTTTTCATTTGTAAAGAATAATTCTGATTCTCCTATTTAATGTGTAGTTACCACTGTTTAAATCCCTGGATTTTTCAGGCACGCTTGCTTTAGCACTGTATGGGGTAAGCCAGGTGTTGTGCCCACGCACTGCACTGTGCCCACGCACGGCACTGTGCCCACGCGCCGCCGACACCACTCTCGCCTCAGGGCATGTCCCCCAGGTGCGTTCTGGTGACGTGCAGGTCAGGAGATGTGCTCCTGTTTTTGGTCTGGAGGAGGGCACGGTAGAGACAATGCAGGGTGAGAGGCAGACGCACCAGCGGGTCTGTGGGCCTGCCTTGTGCGGTTGCTGCTCACTGAGTGTGGCTGCTGCCGTCTACGGCTCGTAGTCAGTGGGAAAATGGTGGGACCATGACAGTATGTCCTCCAGTTAGCTCTGGGACATTGGCAGCATCCCCTCCTCAGCTCCACTCTTTCTTAGCTGCGAGGACAGGGAAGTTGAACAGTAGACGCTACCCTGGCACCTTGTCCCCAGGTCAGAGCTGCCACCAACCCCCCTTGCTGCTTCCACGTGACCACCAGCGCTTTCAGAGGGTTGTGGGTCCTGTTTAGGTGGAAGGAATAATTAGGAGACAGTTGGCCGTACTAGCAGGAGGGAGAGAAAAACCAATTCCGTAAGAGAGCCTTGGAAACTGCTTTTGGATGTCATACATAGAAACTCATGTCTGTAATCTCAGCACTGAGGAGGTTGAGGTAGGAGCATTGCCATGAATTCAATGCTAGCCTGGGTTACGTGGGTTCCAGGTCAGCCTGGGCTACAGAGTGAGACCCTGTTTCCAAAATATTTATGAATTGGTGTGTGTGTGTGTGTGTGTGTGTGTGTGTGTGTGTGTGTGTGTGTGTGACATTAATGAGAATGGCCATGGTCATTTTGGAAAGAGTATTTTGGTCTTCAAAGTTTTGGGCTAGCCCAGCGACTCAGCCATGGGCTTGCCCCTCCAGCCAGTCCCGACCCTCTCTTCCCTTTTCTCCCCTCCAGGAACTAGCTCCGCTCTGTACCCTCCTCCCATGAAGTCCAAGCCCGAGAGGACAAAAATTGGGCTGGAACTAATTTAATGGCTGAGTGACCTCACAGTGGAGAAACAGCCGGATCCTAATAGGGGGCTTTGTCTCCATTCCCACCCTGGCTGGTAGCATGCCAGTCAAGAGTCAGGCGGGAGGCA